TGATGTCATCGCCCAGCTCAGTTCAGTTCTCATATAAAGGTGTCAATGCAGGCAGATCAATAATATTGTTGAATATTAAATTAAATGTCCCAAATTAAGCAGTCAATTAAGTGCAACAAGTGTTACGCCTCTAATTCAATCTATTCCAGCACTTTAGTTGAGTTTGTTAATGATCTGAAATGAGTCAGCAGAAGCAAAGGGCAGCTCTGCAGTTCAGGGCTCGTGCAGAGGAAGTCAACGGCATCAAGAGAAGCTTTATCGTCAGGGAAATAATCTGTAAACTTACAGAACTTCTCTTTTACGTTTTCTTTTTGTTGTCATAAACTGACACAGACCGAGCTGAACTGCAATCAGACTGAAATATCACACTTCACACAGCCATTCAAAGACTAAACACACGTCTGACAGTGTAAATAGAGCAGGTACCAAACTCGAGACACCGCAGAGACATTCATCTACAGTGTGTTTCAGAGCGAACACACACACACACATGAACACTGTGACTCAATAAGGAAGTTCTGCTGTGAGCAGCTCACTTACAAAACACACAGGAAAAGTCACTTCAGTAAGAGCGACACACACACAAAACATCACAACAACCCATAGGAAAGAGGAATCGCAATGAAATCTCTTCCAAATCTCAACCGTTTCCCTGAAAACGCTTCTCAGATGTTTCTCCTTTTATAAAAGAGCTTCTCTTCTAGAGTTTCACACCAAATGTCTCAAACTTGCCAAGATTTCAGTCAGCTTTCTGAAATAAAAAGTCAGATTTCAGTGTGAAATGATTTTTCGAAATGAAACAAAGGTAATGGAGTACGTTCTACTTCAAAAATGTCATGTTTCGATGTGTCAATTGCTGACTCTTAGTAAATATTAGTGACATTTACAAGCAATTTCGTGAGTTTCAAACTAAATTCGACACCTTTTTTTTCTGTTTATACTTTGATGACAACTAGCGACTCATTTGGGCCTTGATTTCTCTCCAAATGAATTATATATGAATCATATGTTTTTAAATACACATTCCTGGTCTCTGAATGATTCATCAGTGGCCAATTTTCTAAAGAAAAAAAAACGATTATAATTTCAACTTTCTCTTCCTCCTTTTCAACTGACTCAATTGATCCCTCTTAGAGACTCTTTCGGCATCCAATCAATTTATCTTGGATAAAAACAGGCACCGTCCTCATTTTCTCTCTCTGCATATCCAGTTTGAGTCAGAAACACACGTCACATCACGGAAGTAAGATGTCTTGTGAATATCACTAAAGCTCTGAGCTGCATTAGTTTCACTACAAACATCAGAAACACAGCTATAAACCATCATCATCATGATCTTTAGCTCGCGAGGGTTTAGTTCAGGGTTCGTTTAGACAAAAATATTCAATCATTTACTCACCCTCATGTCGTTTCAGACTTAAAATACATAAAAGAAGGTATTTTGATGAATTTCTTTTTCAATGTTAAGTCAATGGGGTCCAAACATGTTTGGACCAGTGTGGTAACCGTTAAAGAGACTGAAAAACACATACGTTCATTGAAACGAAATAAAATAAAAACGATCTTAAGAATATTTTATTTCGGCTGCCAATGCTACAATTTAAATAAAATGGTAAAATAATGAATAAAATTGGTAACAATTTACAATAAGGATCCATTAGTTGATATTGGTTAATGCATTTACTAACCGTGAGTGATACATTTGTTAAAGTAATTATTAATCTTTCTGAACTTTAGTAAATAAAAACACAACTGTTCATTGCTAGTTCATTAAATAATATTAACAAATACATTTGATTTTAATAATGTGTTAGTAAATGTTGAAATCAACAAACTAAGATTAATAAATGCTTTAGAAAGTTCATGTTAACTAAAATAGTTAAGCATGGAACCATTTACATTTTACTTTGTTTGTTTTTATCAATTTTGTTGTGCTTTTCTCCCTTTTATTAGTTTGTGTTTTATTAAGAGCAAATTAAGATTTTAGGGCAGCACTTTACATTAAATAAAAACATAAAAAATGTGAATAAATATTACAATAGTAGATTAAACGATACTAAAATAACCCCAGCGTTCCTCAAAATATCGTCTCTTCTGTTTCACTTTAACAAGAGAAAGTCAGCTACGGGTTTGGGCGGACGTGAAGGGGAGTTCTGGGCCCTGTAACAGACTGAACAACAGTGACAGAGAGCAGGTTTTGAGGTCCTACCACATGTTCGGTCTCCACCGGGCTGGAGGGAATGTCCTCCAGAGCACAATCTCCCACATCTCCTTCACTATCCATCGCCACACACTCCTGTAGGGTCTGCTACCAGAGCCTCCGACACCATAAACACCAACAGCTTCCGCTCAGAGAGAACGACAGCAACAGCTTCCTGTTCATCTCGACGCGACACATGAGAGATGTTTGCCGTTTACACACACACACACTTATACATTGGCACGTGGATGGATCGCTTTTGAAATCTCTCAACCAACTTCCGGTTCAGAGACGAGCTTTTCAGTGAGGCACCATTATATGTGTGTGTGTGTGTGTTTTAATACACAGGATGGCATTCGTGAACACTTGTGACAGACAAAGAGGAAACGAAACTGTCCCAAAAAAGAAAACACACACACACTAGCACAAGTGCAACATTGACTTCAATGGACTGTAAGGCTTAACAACCACTACAATACAGTTTCTAGAATAAATAACATAAGGAATAATGTTCTTAAAGTATGTGTTTGTCCATATAAAGGCACAGGACTCTGCTGTCCTCAGATGGTGCGGGCCACAAGATCTCGTGATGCAAAGCAGAGAAGTTGAGTTAATACTGTATCAAGCTAGTCTAAAGAAAGAGTATGTGCTGAATCTAAACATGGTCTAATTTATGATCAGCACTGTAACGTCACGCCTCTTTCATCTCAGGTCCAAATTAACCAGGTTAAAGAGTGCAACTGCATTCCTAAATGACAGTGGAAACCGTCCTGTGATGCTTTACAGGGTTTATAAAACCTGCCCTTGACGCCCCACACACACTACCCAGATGCCCCGCCCACAATTCAACTCCGCCGATAACTCTGCCCTGATGCCCGCCCACCGTTAACTCCGCCCATAACTATGACCCATCGTTAAGCCCCGCCCACATATCACCCCACCCGTTATGCCCCACCCACCGTTCAGCCCCGCCCACAACTCAGGCTGACAGTGTAACGCTCAGCCATCCGACCACTATGTTTACAGACATCATTTCACACAAACCTGAATGACAACTTCAGATCGCTGAATCACAGATGGAGTGAAGCAAAGCCACTGAGGTACACGGTCTTTAAAAAAAACACTAAACAGTTTAACACACTTTATTTTTAATTGTTTCTGCAACTGTAAAAAATTAGGTTAACAACAGAAAATTATTAACACAGCTTCCTCAAAATTGAGCTTCAATATCTGAGTCAAAGACTTGGGATACCCTAGCAAAGCCATAGCAATAATCTTTAACACCTAGCAGCAACCACAAGAATACCTTATCAACTGCCTAGCAACTATATAGCAATTCCTTAGAAATCACCCTGAGCATTTTAGCAACTACCTAGCAATGCCCTACCAACCATCTATAACACATATCAACTATCTAGCAACCTAACAGCAATGCCTACCATCTGTAACACCCAACTGGCTAGCTACCACCAAGAACACCCTAGAAACCATACAGCAATGCTTTAGCAACCATCCTGAACACCCTAGCAACTACCTAGCAATCCACTAACAACTGTAACAGCTAGCATTTTCCAAGCAACCACAACTACTTAGCCACGACTACTCAATGCCATAACAAACATCTGTAACACCTAACAACTGCCTTGCAACCACATAGTAATCCTATAGCAACCACCAAGAACACCATAGCAACTGCATTGCAATACTCAGAGGACGATTACAACTGCATAGCAACACTGTAGCAATTTTCTGAACATTCCATAGGAACTACATAACAACGCCCAAGCAACCACACAGAAAACCCTAGCAATGCCATAGCAACCGCCTAGAACACCCTAGCAACTGATTTTTTTTTTTTTTTTTAAATCAGCAACTGATTTTTTGGGGAAAAATATTCTTTAAAACCTCTATTATAATTCTAAATATGTATTTAAAATCATGTTCTATTAAGTATTAATATCATCCTCCTAGACAAGCTGGCCTCCCTTGCAGTTATGGGCACCTGTCTGTCTTGGTTTAGATTATATTTTTCTGGTCATGCTCAGTTCTTGCAACACAAAAACTTTGAGTCATTGCAAGTTACCACTGGTGTTCCCCAAGGCTCAGTGTCTTTTGTTTATGATCTATTTACTGCCCCCATGGACATATTTTTAGGAAGTATGGTATTCATTTCCACTGCTATGCATACAACGGCCCAGCTTTACCTGTCTTCCATGCCTACTTCTGTTTTCCCTCCACTTTCTCTGTTCAGCTGTTTATCTTAAATTAAAAACTGGTTTTCATCTTAAACTGAGATTCTCCTGGTTGGTACAAAATCTACTCTGGCAATAACTGATAGCTTATCTGTGACTATTGGCCAGTCCATAGTATTTCCATCCACGCAGTGTCGTCCTTGATAGCACCCTATCTTTTGAAGCTCACGTTTATAATATTATTCATACTGAAAATTTTAATTTACGAAACATAAAAACACATAAACATGTTTACGGACATATCTTCGTCCTTCTCTGCCAACGAACAGCACAGCACTGCTATCCTTGTAAATGCCCTAGTTACGTCGCATATATAGATTATAGCATTTCTCTTATCTTTGGTCTTTCTTCTAAACATAAACTGCAGCTGGTCCAGAATTCAGCTGCACAAATTATTTCCAGATCCCCTCCCATAGAGCACATTACTCCTGTTCTTTAACACTCCTGAAGTTTTTACTTTACTTCTATTTTATTTATTATTAGTATTTAGTATTAGCATTAGTATTTATTTTACTTCCGATAAAATATCGAATTGATTTCAAAATCTTGTACCCTCAAATTCTCTTCATCAATCTTTTTAGTCTTACCTAGGGATGCACCATATATGGGCCACCATATCGGTATCGGCAGATATATGTTAATTTTTTATGTTATCGTTATCGGCCCGATAAGAAAATTTGACCGGTATATATTAAAGCGGATAAATAATGTATTATTTCCTTCAACTGAGACTCTTCAGATGCGCACTGTCCAACACGATGGTTTTGAATTGCTTGAAATATGATTGGAATCACTTAAAAAAAAAAGGAAAATACAGTTCAGTGCAACATGTGCTGCGCAAGTATTTCATATCGGCAACATAAAATAATAATGAGAAGAACATTATAATTGTGTGCTTGTGACATGGATGTTATTAGTGAGACTTGTTTTTGTAATCAGGCTCTCAAAAATTATATACAAATTTGGATTTAAATTTATCGGTTAATATATCGGTTATCGACTTTCAGACATAAGGAATTATCGGTATCGGACAAAATTTTCATATCGGTGCATCCCTATTCTTATCACCCATCCACCTGAACATTATGGGGTCTAAGACAGAACTGTTACTGCGGCTAAAAAATGATTCTATATGAGGGTCATCTTCACACACAGCAGGATCTCACAGAAATATATAAATAAATGACCATCAGATTTTAATGGAGATTGAAATCGGATTATAAATGATTTGGAGAGGCGGCCTGATAAACATGATGATTATCCTCAGTTACATCAGCCTGTGTGTGTGTGTGTGTGTGTGTGAATGTAAACTAGAGCACTGGAAACACTGAGCGTGTGCTTTGGCTTATCTTTGCTGTAATGGCCTTACTGTATGTTAGCAAGAGTTCAATCATGTCTGTGAGACCTTTTTTTTTTTTTTTGCATAAAAACTTGCAGAAGAACTAAAGTGGGTCTTTAGTTCAGCAGATTGAGTTTGAGAATACACACATACTGGTTACCATTTTATATTGTACAAACGGTATATTCTATCCTCTAACTAAACCTATCCATCACACAAAACTCATGGGGGCTTTGCTCATGGGCCCAAAAAATGTCCCCACAAGGTCAAGGTCTACTGTGGACGTCCCTTTTTGGAGATTTTGACAGGTTTTGGTCTCATCTGGTTCACAATATTACTGAACAGATTTTTAAAGTGTACAAATATTCCATAATATTACTGTTTTTACAGTATTTTTGATCAAATAAATGCAGCCTTTGATGAGCAGAAGAGACACACATACATAAAATATCGGTGTTCATTTTACTGTTATTATATCATGTATTGTTTTGTGTAAGGAGATCGTATTTCACTGACGCCGAGTGAAAACTACACCTGAGCGCTTCAAACATCTCCACAACCGATCAATGAAAGACACACACAGACGCTTATGGACGTGAGACACACACACACAGAGAGAGAGAGAGAGAGAGACAGTGAGAGAGAGAGACAGAGAGAGAGACAGGAAGTCATTAATGAGTGTTGAGTGGACTGATCAATTTCTCTAAGTGCTTTGGTAGAAAAAACGAGCACTAATACAAATTTAATTAGCAGAAGAATTCATCCTGAGAAAGACAAAAATCTTGTGAACGGATCTCAGAAAACAAACCAAATCACCCTCGACTCTGATTAATGCACTTCTGAAGCACTTCTTACACCAGTCGTTGTGTGTTTGCCAATCTTTATCAGTCTTTCAGCTCAATTTACACAGAATCCAGGAGACAAGAGTTCATACAAGAGCTTAGAAACGCAGTGTGTGTTTGTCTAAGCTCACCATGAAGCTTCAAACCATATAAAGTCCCCCTGTGGTGAAAATCAAGCTTTTAATGTTGTTTATATGTCTATGTGGTGTTTTTAATACGCTTTAAGACAAACCATGTGCAAATTAGTTTCTGCTTAAAACTGCAGTGAAACAAAGACAGTCTCAAAAACACGGTTTGAAATCGCTGGTGTTTCTGATGTCACAAACGACCTTGTAACCAATCAGATCAACGTGTGATCGTCAACCAGTGGATCTCTGAGCTGTGTGAGTGAGTGGAGGCGGGGCTCATTTGCATATTCATAGAACCGCGTATACTAAATGAGGCAAGAGTGTCGAGTTACATTCAAGTTACATTCAAGTTTAAATATGTCATTTTGGTGATCAAAGATGAGTTTTAAGGGATAAAATGATTGACTACAGGGGGACTTTAAGTATTTTAATGTCGACATGAAACTCGAACTGATTTTAGTTCCATGCTTAATGTGACACTTCAGAACAAAACTGCAAAAAACAAAAAGGATGACAGGACTTTACTTACTACAATTTTAATGCAGTAAATTTAGATTTCACGTTTGAGCATCCACACATCTGCAATCAGCTCTAGAGTTATAAGATCTGAGTCCTGAACTCTCTCATCTCGTCTGACACGGACCATCAGCGTCCAGGAAGCAATCAGACACTGTCACGACTGTCTGTGAAATCACATCTCAGATGAAACTCCGCCACACACAGATGTATTATTCAGACA